GCAACTCTAACAGCTCTTTCTCCTTGAAGCTTTCTGCCCTAATTCTTAAGTTATATGTCAAATATTACAAGTGGGAATAGTATAATTGTAACTGTCATCTCTTTTCCCCTGCTTATTTGTTCACCTTCCTGCATCTCAGGTTTTTAGTTAGTCCAGCTTCTTTTTTAGTGAAGGAGAGCTGTGTGATTATGATAAGATGGGTGATGTTCAAGCTTCACAGCTTCTGGTGGAAGAATTCCTCCTTTATGTGCCATGAGAGTGGACCTACCCAGTGTGCTCAACCTACTCAGACTGTTTAGATGCAGTAAGCCGATACTTCCTGGAAGCATCAGGCTTAATGTGCATGTATTAGTGTAAAAAGAGCAGCTGGGAATGGACTTAGGCAGTGAAAGCAATTCAGCTGACCCAGACCCCTTCAGAGGGGCCCTCAGGAAGGAGAATGACTGTGAGCAGAGAACCTGTAGATGAGTTGTCCCAACAGCTGCGTGGATTAGGTGCTGTGTGATAGATTGTATAAATGCACCCTTAAGTCTCCCTTGTGCGTGGCATCCGAAACCAGTTAGACATAAATATGTGGATTAACTGGTCTCTTAGTAGATGTGGAACACCTGAATTTGCTGCCATCTGTTTTGCTCCAGATTTTGATTTTAAAATGCCTAATGTTTTTATGTGGGCTGTAGAGTTGTTCACCTTTATCGTTCACATTCCTTTTAATACATAACTTGCATTTGGTTTTGATGATGAAGGATTAGATGTTGCTCCATAGCTGACTCATATTTAAGAGGGTAGCACCAACCCATCAAAGGGACAGAGCATACAGAATTAGTACAGCCCACAATTATAACAAGCAGATAAATGTTCCACAAGATTTTAAGTGAGGATCTTAACACAAATAGAAATCAGAAACAAAGCAGAAAGATTATGACTGTGAAATTATATTAAGGTGCAAGGTATAGAGCATGCTGTGCTGATGGAAGAATGATGCTGTATATTTACAAGCTCGGAATAAAATAAACCAACTCTTTTACAGGAAACATGTTGCCCACACAGTTTGATCAGGAACAGTATGCTATAAGCAACATACATCCAGATCAGGATAGCAACACTGACTGGAACATATTTCTACTATTAAAGTAATAAATAGTTGTGTTTCTTCTGTTTGTTCTCTCTTGTGTTTATCAGTGGCATTACTTGTATGTCAGTGTCAGACTACTGCTAGAACTAGTGAGTACTGGGTGTTGAGGAGATGGCAAGTTGTGTGGTGTGACGAAGCATGTTATGGGCTGATTCTGTACTTGGTTGGTTGTAAGTTGAAAGTCACTTGAAGGCACACAGACACTCCACTACGTATGTAGCGAGTTTTAACCATTCTTACGAAGAGAGGCTCTGATTTAGGGTAGAGAAGGGAGGAGGCATAGTTAGGAAGTATTTTGATGTGGATTTTAAGAGATTTTTTGAATAAATGAATAGTTGGAGGAGCTCTGGATCTGTTTTTGTACTTTGGTTCCTAGTTGCTTCCAACAATTGGTAGGCTCAAAAAATGTCTGCCTCCTTTTATTCTCCCAAATTCCATCAGGTTTGCATTAGTTTATGTATCAACCAGTCTCTATATGATGTAAAGAAAAATTATATGTTATGTTTTGTTGTATTTAAAAAAAAGGAAAAAATATTTTTATCTATTTCCCAAAAGACCATTTTTCCCCCGTCTTGTAAATGTGAAGACATAAGCCATTGATGCATTTAGGTAATCTGTCTTCAGGGGTATGTCCTCCTAATGCAAGCTTAGAGTGATGGAATGCATTGTAAAATCCAAATGGTGTTAATTTCTATGCTCATCACGGGGAAAAAGTAGAATAGAATAGAACACAGTATTTTAGTTACAAGAGTCCTAAAATGATCATCTTGTCCCACTTCCTGACCAGTTCAGGGCTGACCAAACACATGTTGTTAAGGGCGTGGTCCAAATGCTTCTTACACTCTGAAAAGCTTGGGGTATCCACCTCCTCCAGGAAGCCTGTTCCATTGTTTGACCATCCTCTCAGAAAATAAATGCTTCCTAATGTCCAGTCTAAGCCTCCCCTGGTGCAGTTTTGAACCATTCCCACATATCCTGTCCCTGCATACCAGGGAGAAGAGCTTAGCACCTCCCTCTCCAATGTCTCTTCCTCAGGAGGCTCTAGAGAGCGGTGAGGTCATCCCTCTGGTTCTCCAAACCAGACAAACCCTAAGTCCTCAGTCCCTTCTCACAGGCCGTTGCCTCCAGCTCTTTCACCAGCTTTGTTACCCTCCTCTGGACACATTCTTGTTTAATTTAAGGTGAGATACCTCACTGGTGACAGGTTGCCAGTCAGATGTAGCCCCATTCACTACAACCCTTTGAGCACTGCCCCTCAACCTCCAGCTTGCTGTGTACCTGCTTATCTTGGAGGAGGATGCTGTGAGGGACAGTATCAAAAGCCTGGGTATCTTGATGTTTAAATACTACTTTCTTTTGTAACACTTAGTCATGCTAGGGTGTTCCTTTGCTAATGCTCCCCAGATGGTGCATCAGGTTGCAGTACTCTAGAACTGTCTTCTGGTTTGCTGGATTCTCACTCTGTGGATTCTTTGTCAGCCTCTTGGTTCCGTGTTCTGTTAACCTCTCCTTCTGAGAGCTAGATTTTGCCATGTAGCTGCAGAAGCACTTTTCCATCTAGGGATGATCCAGAGATCTCCATGTGGTTTAACCACTAATTTTTCAAGAACTGAAGCTAGCGATTTACCTCCTTTGGAATACAACACATTGCAGAGAAATCTTGGCAGTGTCCTTTAGGCACAATTTCTCGTAATACTTTTTTCAAGATGAAAATGGGCAGTAAGTTGTATGCCTGTCTTGCTACACTTTTGTCAGTGCTCGGGATCGTTTTTTGTTGCATGTTCAGGATTAACTGCATGGAAGTATTTGAAGATTCAGGACATTTTATTGTTTCCTAACTTGGGTGTATTTGGCAAAGCTCTGGCAGAAAGTGATACACTCGGCATGTCTTAAACCATTCTTGAACCGGTGTTTGTTAATAGCAAAAGTACAAATTGCCTGTAGTATGAGTCTGCAGATGATCACAGTTTTAGTGATTCATCATGGAGTTATTAGCTCATGTAATGAGAATTGTCTCCTTCTGCAAATATCCTTTTGACCATGCTTCAGTTTATCTTATGGTTGATTTAAAGTCCCTTCTTCCTTGACTCAAGAACAGGTGTATGGTCTTATGCCCATGGCACAGTGCCAGGAAAACCATCTTATTTGAGCTGTGTATAACAGTTCTCCTGACATGCAGTCCTTTGAAACAGCATAGCAGTCAGCATAAAGTAGCACAAATAAAGGCTTTCAGCAGTGTGCTGCTGAATAGAAACACTGAAAGATCTCAGAGATAAATGGCAGGCAAGGAATGCACAATGTGCAGCAGAGGCGGTAACTGCTTGGCTTGGAGCTAATGCCACCATCAATTGCATCCTCTGCTTGCATAGGGCAAGGTTTATAAAAGTCACTGATACTCTTTGGGTATAACAACATATGTGCTTATTTGGAAAGCAATACCAGTTTGAGCAGCTCCTACTCTGCTTCGTCCTTGTCATAGAATCAGCTGGGTTGGAAAAGGCCTCCGAGATCATCAAGTCCAACCCTTCATCCAACACCACCGTGGTTACTAGGCCATGGCACTAAGTGCCATGAATTTAATATGGGAACTGATTTGTTGGAAAAATAATTTGGCAGATGGGTTTGTTTTTAACTGGGGACTGCTACAGTTGTTCAGTGGAAGGACTGACATGCAGTGGGAATTACTGCTGATGGTTGCAGTGAAAGGAGGAACTGGAGCTTGGCACTGCTGTTTAAATAAATGTATGTGTAACTGTGCCCTTGGGCTCCACACCCAGTTTTATGACACTGGATAGAACCTGGAGTAGGGAAGCGATTCTGTTTGTTAAATAATTAAAACTTGTGAGCAGCTCAAGTGCAGATAATTTTGCTGACTAATATTTTTTTCTTTCTGTTGAGTCATTCTGTTGGTTTGGAGTGATCATGAGTGGGTTTTTTTTTTCTTATGGGCTTCTGGTGGTGGTTGTTTTTTGGAGGGAGGTGTGAATGTGTACCAATGCTTTTAAAACTGAAACTGAAAGGAATTGTTATTGCTTAATTTAATTTCTGTGTAGGATTGGAAAAGTAGAGAAAGAGGGGAAAAATGCAATCCAGCATTGCAGCCAAATTAGAGTATTCATCTTCAGTTTTGCAGTTTCTTGCATTTCTAAGAATGTGTCAAGTTAATTTGTTTGGTTCTGGTATTAAAGCATCAATGTACTGTAATTAAATGACATTTCAGTTATATGAATAGATTCTTTGTATTTCCTTGGGAAATTGCATCACATGGAATTAATTATGTTTGTGTGTTTTGCTTTTAATCTAGAATAAATGTTGATGAAAATCGGAGAAGTGTTCTCAGGGGGTCTGCTACCTGAAAAAGAGGCTCTTACAGTTTCTTTGATAACACTTGTTCAGGAGCTTATGTGTCCCTATTGTGATGATCTAAAGCGATGAGGATAAAAAACTGCTAACTGATGACTTACTCAGTAGTGGTGTGTTGTTTATAAAGCCAACAAATGAAAATATATCTCAAATTTGTTTCACTATGTTGTGTTTTCTTTGGTAATGTCTGTCAGCTTGTTCCCACTGGACTTGCAGCTTATTCTATCATTTGTGGTGGCATATGATTCTGCAACATATTAAAGTTAAGAGAAGCATTTTGGACTGTCAAGTCTACACATCTTTTTTTATAGTAGGTGTTTAATGATTGATTTTTAATGATTTTGTTTTGTGTTTTATAAGTGAAGTTTTTCTGGTCTGCTAAAAAAAAAAAGAAAGCTAAGCATTGTATTATCATAATCATTATGAAGTGATAATGTTTTAAATAGTTCAAATATATAGACCTTGTGTATATACCTGAAAATAGTTTTATGTTTTCTTGCAGCTAACAGAAGATGAAATTGCAACTATTCTGAAATCTACTCTTAAAGGACTTGAATACTTGCACTTTATGAGAAAAATACATAGAGATATAAAAGCTGGAAACATCCTTCTAAACACCGAGGGACATGCAAAATTAGCTGATTTTGGTGTGGCTGGCCAGTTAACAGTAAGTACCTGTACAAAGATATTTTAAAAATGCTTTAGTGCTCCTAACCATGTTCTTCTACCTTTGTCTTCTGCCTTGAATTTTGTGTCTGAGAAGTGACTAGTGGTAGTGGCAGAACTAACATTCCTTTGAACATTTAGTGTATTGCAGGGCTATAGTTGTTTTTGTAACCCAGTGTTACAAAGTTACATCAACTGCCTGATGATCTCACTTTAAATTTTATTTTGAGGTTTATGATTATTCCACCTATTTGGCCTCTGTAGGGTGATGGGCTGGATCTGTTTGGTCTTAATTGGAAAGTCACTACCGTTTGACCTTTGGGTGGCTAATTTAACTTTTAAATGTAGAATTGATATCAAAATAATCTGAAAATAAGCATCTCTGTTTTAATTGTTTAAATAATATAATTACAGGATACAATGGCAAAACGTAATACTGTTATAGGAACTCCGTTTTGGATGGCTCCTGAAGTAATACAAGAGATTGGCTATAACTGTGTGGCAGACATCTGGTCCCTTGGTATCACTTCAATAGAAATGGCTGAAGGAAAGCCTCCATATGCTGATATTCACCCAATGAGGGTAAGTGTGTGTGCTGGTGTTTTTTGTTTGTTGTATTTTAAAAAAACCCTGCAGACTCACAAAATGCTTAAAAAAGCCTAGTAGTGGAAGCATAAAACTGTATGTTTATGAATGGACATTTTAAGACTGACAATTTTTACTTTCTGTGTTGCTTCCTGTTTACTCGCTTGTGTTTTAACGCTTTTCTGTAAGGTTTCAGAGTGCCTTTATCTCCACTTGAGAGGGAGTTAAAGCAATAAGCATTTCATTGGCTTGAAGGCAAAATATGCATACTGTACCTGCACTTGGAGAGTTCCATCACCAAGAGTCCATACTCCTTTGAAAGGCAGTTTTGAAATTAAGGTGACCTAAAGAAGGATTCAGAATTGTCCTATGTGAACGGTGCTAATATTAGTAACATCTGACAGCTTTTATTTATTAATGACTCTTAAGTCTCTTACTAAATTAGTTTATTAGTTCATTAGTTTATTTTTTAAAATAAAATGTAAATAGAATTATTCACTTCACTTGGTGAAGGTCATGGGGAACAATGTTTATCTAGGAATAACTTGCCACTGTTAGTCATGCTTTTATTATTTTTTTAATGAGCTATAGAATAGCTATGATGATTGCACTGAGCATCAATAAACACTCCATTCATAAATTTTTTATATCCAAAGCCCATTTTGTATTAATAAGGCACTTTATATGACCTCACATGTATCTTTTTTCAAAAAATTCTTTGTAATTGGCTACAAAAATGGCATGCATACTAGATTATTTTATTCAGTTTTCTTTTACTGGTGCCTCATATATCAGGATCTTAATATAAGGAAACCACTACTATCGAAAGAAGAGGTCCTGTTCATGAGTGATTACGGTAGGGTGTTGCTTATATGAGTTGAAGTGTGTTTAGTGCTGTTGGGTTATTGATTTTGGTTTGTGGTGTTCTTGGTTTTTGGTTGTTTGTGCTCTTTGGAGCAGAGATGATTCCTGAAATTTCATGGCAATGTGCATCTCTGTTAAAATTAGTGAGTGTTTTGCAATTTAGAAATATAACATAGTTTTGTAAGCAAATTTTAGTAGGTTTCCTGCACCATACTTTTTTCTGTGTAATTAACTGTTTTTAAATTACAATTCAAACTGAAAATACTCGGATGAAATCTGTGAAGAAAATAAGTATCTCTTTGGTGGGAATTTAAGATTAAATGACAGCTAAATAATATTTTGAAGAATGATTGAAAAATTGAATTTGTCATCAGGTGGCTGTGATTTCTGGTTATACTTGTAATGAAAATGTCTTAATGACATCTCAGTAACATCACTATATAGTTGCACTGGCTGTTGAAAGGTGAGGACTGCATAATCAGTGAGGATTTTTATGTGCATGACAATAGCTGCTTATAAATCAAAGGTCATTGAGTTTGAATGCTTGTGGATCTGTTCAATTCTTGCAATCAAGTGAGTGCTATCAAAGGCCAAAGCAATTTAACACGACAATTCTGGATTACATAGAACATGCATTCTTGTTAATAAATTACGTTACGGTTTTTAAGGGCTCATATGCAGTTAGTGCTCTTTTGTATATTTGATACCTACAGTTTTTCTTAATTTTTATTAGTGAGTTGTTACAGTGGTTAACAAGAAATACACAGATTTAAGTTGCAATAGGTTTCCTGGTGTCATATGATACGACTTCACAGGACTTTTGGGCATATGTAGATGCTTTCCTACTTTGTTTTAGTTATGACACAGAATTGATACAGGCAAGCATGAAAGCTCGGGCAAATTTTCATTGCTTTTTCTAGAAGTTGCTTGAGTTCTGTGGTATTTATGTAAGGCACAATTTTGTTGCTTGGGAATGCACAGTGAAATTACCGTGTGCACTATTTTGCTCTAGGCTGGTTGGCACTACCACAAAGGTAACGCATTGCCAGTAGGCCATTTCCTTGTCAACTGCGTTTACAGCTTAATAGAAATATTACATGACTTCTTTAAACAAGTGTTTTGGCAGAGAGGAAATAGCAGATTCCACACAAACAAGCGTAGCTTCCTCTGCTTAACCACACTCTAACTACTCCAAAGAACTGTACTCGTTTCAGCTGGGATAGAAGAAGTGGGGGGTGCAAAATGGAATTTTGGGGGTGGGGGGAAGAAAAAGCAGATCCCTGTAGTAGTATATTTGAGTGTCTAAGTATCATCAATGCTATTTCACGTGTTTCTGCTGCAAATCAGAGTTCAGCAGGACCTGTAGTTGTCACACTTGGTTTGAGACTCAAAGGTCAAGACCACTTGCCAGCTTAGTAGTTCTAATGCTTTATTCACTGAAGAATTATGAAATGCCTCACATTCTATGAGTCTGTTTCTGCTTTTGCTAATGATGAAAAGTGAAACTTCTCTGTTTTCTACATTTGGTGTTTTTTTTCCAAAGAAAGAGTGTTTTCAAGTAGTTTTAAAGGAGGGAAAAATACAGACATCCTTAAGGTTACCCTAAAACATGGTGATACAGCCACTAGAAATAGCAAGGAATTTGCTGATAAGTCAAAAACTCACTCAAACTTAGCTAATTTAACCCATCTAACAGGGCTAAAAGCATGTTGATTGCAGTAGGCTGTGCAGCAACCAGGGTTAATGTGTCTGTCAGTGTTTGCATCTGCCTTTGATTGCTCTGCTGGGATGAGCACTTAGGAATTTATAGTGAAGCTAATTAAAGGGGACTTCAGCGTGGTTCTAGAGCGAGGCTCAATCTCTACTCTGAAGCTGCAGTGATGTTTTAACAGCTCCCATGTTCCCCATTGACTGCAGCATGTATGCTGCCCTGTAGTGATAAAGTATTTGTCTTAATGGTGTCAAAATTTGATTCAAACCATTAACTCTTAGTTCACTCACTTCTCATCATGTGCTATCTGTCCTTTTTAATTTCTAAATTACTTTTTTTTATTTTAGTCTGTAGTGAAATCATAGAGACTGGCACTGTTTTGCTGTAGTAGTTGTGGTGTTTCTTTTTTGCTGAAAATTGGTAACATTCTTTTGAAATATTCTCAGTCTTTGCTAATCAAGCCATGATCTCAAATTGTCATGTAAGATTGTTCCTGGTGGAAGGTTATTTAAGCTGCAGAGTTTCTATTTGATCCATCTTCTGATGATATTTGGCTTTTTTAACAAGTAGCTTAATAACGCTTTGCTATAAAGCTAATCTTAAGAATGGCTGTTTTTTGAGGTCCTTTCTCTGGACCACCATTACCAAAATTTTTCCTTATATTCATGCAGTGACATGATCAGTTATTCCTGCAAGGCTGAGGATCAAGTGTGGGCTGCTGGTGTTAGAGACAGCCTGTCCTTAGCCAGTAGTTCCTGAGCTTTCTGTTAAGCAAGCACTCACTTGGAGTTGGACAAAGGAATTAATGTTCTGAAAAGTTAACCTGGTAGAAAACTGCTAGAACTGAGCTGGAGAAATTGTAGGAGTCTCTAGGTGGACAGGAAAAATGGGTTGAGGCGAGTTACTGCTTTTGAGACCTATAGACCTACTATAGTACTGCAAAGTGTGTTTTATAAAATTTGCTCTTTGCAAGGTCAACAGTTAGTGACAGCTTGGTGTGCTTCAAATAAATGCTGGTAGCTCACTTAAAAAGGAGAAGAAAAAAAAGCCCCCCCCCCCTCTTTTCTTTCATGCTTATCAAGCATCTGCAATAATTCATGTTTCTGTGGTATGGAAGAAGCTGGTGGTAGATGTGTTTTTCAACACCTCACAGTATTGGTTTTTGTTATTTTATGGTGAACTTTGTTGGAAATGGACATGTGGGCATCACATGTTCTTAAGTGAATTGGAGAAAGCCAATTTGAACTGCTTCCATTTGCCTTAAGTCCAGTCATGATACTTATTTTTCCATGGCACTTACCCAGATTATCCATGCCTCCTGCTTAGCCCGTGTCATTTCCACCCTGGACTAATCTGTTTGTAATAACCTTTTACTCCTGATGTATCTTGTAGCAATCTACCATTTCCCACTTTTTAATTCTCAACATATTGCATTAAAACTGGAGATTGAAGTGAGAATTATTGCTCTGTAAAGCTGTAAGAAAAAAGGAGGTGTCAGTTGGAGCATATCAGTCAGATTGGGACCAGTTTTTCAGCCGTTGAGAAAATGGTTTCCAGTATGCCTTTTGTGCCAGAAGTTGAGGAGAGGAAAAAAAGAAAAAGCATTTCTGGTAATGTCAGTTGTCTTTCTATATAGTCACTCCTTCATTTCTTCTCTTCAACAGGTGGTGTTATCACTTTATTATTTTCTCTGAGAGTTCACCTATCTTATCTCAGCATTACTGCTTTTAAATTTAAGTAGGTTTGTAAAAGTATATGGTTTTCTTATTTTAGTGCCTTTGCTTATCTTTAGAAAAGACTTTGAATTAAAAGTCCTTTACCTTTTAAGAACTTTCTATGAGATAGTTTGTTAATTTATAACTTGAGATCTTACCTGCTGTATCAAGATAGAGTGAGCTAATATTTAAAGACTTTAAAATATGGATATTTAATTGTACACTACTGCTCATTATTTTACTGCTCTTCTAAATCTTGTGGAAGAATGACAGTGAGCTAGAATGATACCAGGGGCATGTAATGTGTATTTGCAGTGGGGGCCTAAGACACTGATGTGATATGGTTGAGACAGCTTGGAGAAGCATGTGTTTTGGCTGCAGGTTTTTCAAAGAGCTGTTGGAAAACCTTTGGACCCCTCTAGGCCTTTAAATGGAATTTTTCCATTTGCTTGAAACAGACCTAAATGCAGGTGATGGCTGCAAAGGGCTGGTATTCTTACCTTTTCATACATTTTCAACACCTTTTTCTGCTGAAACGAGCATTTAGGTGGCCACATGATGTGCTGGATCAGAAAATGAATCCATCTGAAAACTAACCAAGTAATAAGAAGTAGCTTTCACTAATGTTGTTAATGTGGTACTTGAACTAGATGGGGACCAAAATGTTTGGCTGAAATTGGTAGGAGAATTGGGTCATCTGTTTTTGG